TGTGTGTGTGTGTGTGTGTGTGTTGTGTGTGTGATGTGGTTAATCATAAGGTCACACAATTTGATGGGTGGAGGGAGGGATGGGTAAAGGAAATGAGAAAGATCCAGTGTGAAAAACAATGTATGTGAACTTCTTAAGTAAACCAGTAAAAACAAAACTTTATTTAAATAAAAAAATTGCTAAGCATATGTTTTAGGGAGCTCTGATGGCCTAGTGGCAAGAAGCTGTGTTGCAATCACACAACAACAAGTGTATGTTTTACTTCTTTCCAACCCAGCAGTGGGAGACATCAGACAGTGCATCTGAGGTCATGATCCCAGGGTCATCTTGGGAGCAGGTGTTTGAAGCACTACTCCCGTGATCAAAGTTCAGATGATCCCATGGTCTGGATGCTGCACTCTAGGCCATGTGTTTAGTGATTGTTGTGTACCGTTGAGTCAGAACCAACCCATAGGTGACCGGCCCTCCAGCGGATATTCAGAGACAGTTAATTGCTCGGAAGGAGATTGCCCATCCGTCACCCACATAGCAGCTGGTGGATTCGAACCACGTGCCTCTGGGATTGCAGCTCAGCTTCTTACCACTAGGTCACCAGAGCCAAAAAAAAAAAAAGGCTGACATGTTGAAAACAAGCACAGATTTTATGTACAGAAACTCATTCATGATGCGATAAGCGGTCTCTCAAGTTAGTGATGTAAAGTGATGGTTGTCTAATTGAAAAATTAAGGAAATCATAAAATTGAACCCAGGAAATCAATTGACACAACTTTGGGAGTCCCACTGTTAACTCTGTCTAGGCCCTGTATATGGTTTGGCACTGCCTAGTGGTAAGTGACCGATTCAGCGGAAATATTAATGGGGATCTTTCTAGTTCGTGAAATGGATAGAGTTTCCAGGCTGGAGTAACAATTCCAAGAACCTCTTAGCAAATTGATTATTTGGCAGAGATCCTTGACATTTAACATTTAGGTTTCTCCCTTTTGTGTTCACCTGTCTCTCCAGGAGGTAAGATATTTTCCCTATCCTCTTCTTTTTATATTTGGGAATGGCGATTGTTATTGTTAGGTGTAGAGTACATAGAAGCTCTATAAACAACAGAGCCGAACCCTGTCCTATCCTGTGCCATCCTCATCACCTCTAACATACTTGAGCCCATTGTTGCAGTCACCATGTCCATCCATCTCATCGAGAGTCTTCCTCTCTTTCACTGACTCACCTTTATCAAGCATGTTGTTTCTCTCCAAGAAATAGCCTCTCCTAAAACATGCCTAAGGCCTGTGAGACAAAGCTTTGTCATCCTTGCCTCCCACAGGCACCCTGGCTGCACTTTCTCCGAGACACAGTGTTTGTTCTTTCAGCAGTTCATGGAATATTCTCTTCTCTAACACCACAGCTCAAAGACACCATTTCTTCTCTCATCAGGCCTTTCACATCTGTGGGGAGAACTCCGAACAACTTAAGAGTTTTCTTTCTTATCCTCCTTGCAATATGCTAGACCACATTTTCTTTGTCAGATCTGGGATAGCTGATCTAACCGGAGGACCAGGCGAGGGAACTGGAGTGTTTGTGCATGACTCATTGTTTCCACTCCACTCTCTTTCCAGGTTCCTTTATCCATTCTGTGCCCCGGCACGAAGTCCCGGATATTTTAGAAGTTCACCTGCCACACGCTCAACCCCAAGATTCTGGAGTGTACTCGGCCAGGTACATAGGAGGAAATCTCTTCACCTCGGCCTTCACCAGGCTGATAGTCCGCAGTAAGTGATTGCAAAGCCACCAACACGGGTACAACAGTTGGCAGCATTTTTTAGTTGGAAGCCACAGACACTGACTCTGGCTAGCTGATGCAAAACCAAGGTGTTATCTGGAAGGATACTAAGGATTCTTAGAAGAAAGGTGGAGAAAAATGACAAGGAATTTGCAGAAGAGAGATAGGCTCAGCAATGGGAGGTGATGGACTTTCTCTTTAGGATGTTACCATGACGACCGCTCAGCATCTCTACAGTATTTCTTTTACTCCCAGGCTTGAACTCTAGGATAATGAATCTGATTGGTCAGGTGCCTAGCCCTCTAGACCAATCGGCTATAGACAAGGGCAGAGTTTAATACAATGGGAGGCTCTTTTCTATCTCCATTACCTGCCACCATTATTTTTTAAGTGTCTGAGTAACTTGTGCTCTGCCTCTCAAGAAATCACTGATAATCATGCAAAAGCATTTCCCCCCTTTAATGTGGCCTATATATTAAGTGGACAATAACAACAACAGAGAGAGCTCTGTGGGTCTAGTGGATAGAAAGTTATACTACCAAGCCAAAGGTAGGTGATTTTAATTTGTGGTTTTCAGGTCTGGTTTTAATTATTTTGGGTCAAATATTCTTCTAGGTCGTATAGCCCTGGTCTGTCCACTTGCTGTACAGAGGTAACTCATGGTTGCTGTGAAGCTGAACACTGTGACACTGATGTGTCAAATGTGGGAATGGTTACTTACCCACGGTAGACAGTGTTTGGTGAAGCTTCCTGATTAAAACAAGCTTGGAAGCAGCAGTGGCATCCACTTCTGGAATAGCTTGTCTCTGGAAACTGTATGTGGAGAAAGGATGAAAGTTATACAAGTCTTTTGTTCGTAGGGTCGCTATAAGTCGTTTATGGCTCAGCGGCACTTAACAACGTATTAAGTGGAATGCTTTAAGAAACGTCTTTGCTGAGTGTCTTCTTGATTATTTTTTAAAAATACTGGTAACCACGAATGCTTGCCAAAGATATTATTAAGTTTCAGCCATCGGCACAGGTCCAAGTTCAACGTTGTGTGACTAACATTCTGGCACAAAGATACTAATTCATTTCAGATGAGAAAAGAAATTAAATTCCTGGAGACAAAGGATCATTCAGACCCCCTAGGTCTTCCTTATATTAGAAGGTCTTTAGCTGAGATTTTTTCCTTCCCAGGAAGAGGTGCAGATTCCTCTATAAAAGGAACCACCAAGCTCTAGAGAGATAGCCACAAAATCAGTCTAGGCATTTTTCCATTCTTGTACTTGAGTTTTGGTGCATCTTACTTCATTTCTTTTACATTCTCTGCCTCAAAAATATTATCATAGGTGCTGCTGAGCCAGTTACAACTCATAACCACTTCCCCTGCACGCAGAACATTGCTGGTTCTGCCCCATCCTCACTGTCCTCTCTATGTCCGAGTGCCTGCGGTGTCGCTCTATCTCGTTGAGGGTCTTCCTAGTTTTCACTGGCCTTCTGCCTGACCAATCATAATGCCCCTCTCCATGGACTGACTGGTTCCCCCTGACAACATGTTCAGTATACATGACCCAGAGTCTCATCACTGTTATTTTTTTTAAGGTTACAAAGTAAAGATAGGATTATTAGAAAGTTACATTCCAAAGGGATGAATTTCCCTCCTTGAAAAGAAATATGGAAAAGAGGTCACACTTCTTTTTAAAAAGTGTTCTGATTGCACTTCTTCTAAGAAGGATTTGTTTGTTCTTTGGCAGTCCGTAACATATTTCATATTCTTCACCTAAAAAAAAATAGCTTGATGTTATTTATCCTGTTCACCAGTCTCTGTCAGAGGTCCTCGATGCATCAAAATCTCCTGAAGGGTGTGTTAAGCATAGATTGCTGCCTCCCCCCAATTCTCTGAGTTTCTCATTCAGTACACTGTCAGGATTTGCATTTCCTGTACATTTCCCAGGTGACAGAGATGCTATTGAGAGGGACCACCCATTGAGAACAGCTAATGAACTGTACTCATATCTATAATTCCTTGAACACTCCATTTTATGTTTCCTTGCCTAGGACACACTCTCTAGTCTTATTTTCTTTTTTGCTAATTAATGTAGGTAGTGCCAGCATAGTGCACTTGCCACTTTTCCAGGAGGATTTCCATCTGCAGAAAATGATTATGTACTGCTTGCCTTTGTTTCTGCATTGTTTTGTGTTTACAAGTTATATATCAGATCATTGTTTTTTAGAAAGCAGAGATTATGCAATTCCTGAAATATTTATACACTATTTTCCAGTAACATAGTATGTGTTGAGTAAAGACATGGAGTAAGTGTGGTCTACTTACTCTAGTCTTGTTTTCCTTAACCAAAGGATGTGAAGCTCACCTGTGGGGACCTGAATGCAACCGTCCTTGCATTGACTGTTTCAACAATGGAGTCTGCCATGAAGACACTGGAGAGTGCATTTGCCCTCCTGGATTTATGGGGAAAACATGTGAGAGGGGTAAGTCAAGAGCACTTGATGTGTAAGGTGCCGAGGGAAGAGACCATCATTGCTGAATAAAAAATGTTAGCTATTTGAACACAGATGACAATGGAAGTGAAATGGTAGCTATACCATACTTTTAAGTGAACTAGAAAAAAGGCAACTTTTCTTCAAGATTCTTTGTTACCAACCACAAGAAAGTCATACCATGGAGTACTTTTAAGTGAACTAGAAAAAAGGCAACTTTTCTTCAAGATTCTTTGTTACCAACCACAAGAAAGTTACTATATAGAGAGATATATATAGAGATATTATATGTATAATAAGTTATTATATAGATATATAAATATATTAGATACAAGTTGTTATATAAAGATATTATATAAGTTATTATATATAGATATATAAAGATATTATATATTATATATAATGATATTTCTAATATGAATGACACCCTTAGACCCTGATGTTCTTTCTGTGAGGCAGCATCATTACTTGTAAAATGGTTATTATAAGAGCATATTCACCCAGCTCATACTACCTCTGTGGTTTAACTAATTTCCACCATGACTGGTCTAGAAGAAGCTCTTTTACAAACAGAATACTATGCGGCACTCAGGAGCAACAATTTCTAAAAATACTACCTAACTTGGGAGAGACTGGAGAACATTATGCTGAGTGAACTGACTTAGTCTCATATGGACAAATACTGCTTAAGATGACTATTGTAAAAATAGAAGGATAACTAGTAAAACATGTCTGGGGACCCAGCGGGGCGAGGGGTGAGAGCAGAGGGGTGAGAATGTGCATAGGTGAAACTCAGGGTTGTGCAGTTTGGTGGATGAAAGGAGGGGGTAAAGGAAATCAAAAGGATCTAGCAGGGACCTGAAAAGACTGGGTAATGATGGACAAGGTCCAATGTTGATTGATTTTCTAAAACATAATGCATGGGAATGCTTGCACAAAACACAGTGTTAATGAAGAATAGTGTGAAACACAATGTATTTGAATGCTGTAAACAAACCAATGTAAAATTTAAGAAAAGGGGGCAAAAAAGAATCGCACTTTCAAGGATTTACTTTTTCCCCTCCCCCTTTTCCCTAAAGCCTGTGAACCGCACACATTTGGCAGAACCTGTAAAGAACGATGTAGTGGCGAAGAGGGATGCAAGTCCTACGTGTTCTGCCTCCCAGACCCTTACGGATGCTCTTGTGCCACAGGCTGGAAGGGTCTGCAGTGCAATGAAGGTAAGCTGCAGTCTCAGCTCTGAGCGGAAGGGGGCTCCGGCAGGGACCCACGGAAGATAAAGTCCCTGGGAATCACAGTTTAGGGTCTGCCCATACTGCGCAATCAACTAACTGCAGCCAGGCTGGATTTATAGGCATTTTCATTCAAAGCGAATTAGATTTTCACATCAAGACTCTGAACATTTCTCTCCCATGGGTCTCATTAATACACAGGTTCTGATTCAGTCGCTCTGGCGTGAGAGCTGTGATGCTGGATTTCTCAAACGTGTCAGGGTAATTCTGATGCTGGTTGTTTTCAGATCATACCCTGCACAAGAAGACCATAGAATTTTGTTATCAACACATTACTAAAAATCAAGACTTTTTGCTCCTATCCAGACAGGATTTGAGGTGTAAAAACTGCAGAAGTTAAGAGCACACCTGCTGACGAGCTTACTCACATAACACCATCTTCCCCTGAGCCTCCTCACCTTCCGAAAACATGTTTTCATTTTTGAAGAGGCTTGGCGCCTTCCGACTAGGTGTTTCTCTGAGATGTTTACACAACAGCTTGATATGAACCTACCTCCCTCATCTGTCACCACCAGGGGTTACAATGGGATCACCAGCCAGTGAGAGAGAGAGAGGAAAGAAGAAGAAGAAGAAGAAGAAGAAGAAGAAGAAGAAGAAGAAGAAGAAGAAGAAGAAGAAGAAGAAGAAGAAGAGGAGGAGGAGGAGGAGGAGGAGGAGGAGAAAAGGAGGAAGGAAGGAAGGAAAAAGAAAGATAGAATTTATTATATAAATAATATCTTAACCATGTAAAGTGTCTTAAAATAAATATGCAATTTGAGTTTTTATAGTCAACACAATAAGAAAGGGAAAAGCAGCAGGCAAAATTGATTTTCCAATTCCCCTTAACATAAGGTGTTCAAAATATCATAATTTCAAATGATCATCAATAGGAAAAATTCACACGATGTTTAACGTTTGTTTCTTGCATATAATGTCTTGGAGTTCTAAGGCATCTCAGTTTACACTAGACACATTTCAAGTGTGATATAGTCATATGTGTCTGTTCAGAGTAAGGGGACAGAGAGGAAAGTTAGGGTCTGGAAGAGGGAGAGTGGGAAGGTCACATGGAAGTAAGCTTCAGATATGTGCATCTCGCTCAAGTCCTTGGCATAGTGCCCATGGAATATTGAGGCAACTACAGAAGTCAGAGACTCCATTCAGCCTCTGAATTGTACACCTTAAGGTGAGAAGTACCTGCCAACAGGGGAAGATGTGGCCGTCTTTGACAAAAGAATAGCAAAGTATCTTGGCTATGTCCCGTATATAAAAAACGTATACACGGGAACATTCTACTGGGGCTTAGGAAGAGGGGTGTGTTCATTAAAGTGTGGAGTGTGAGCTTCATCAGTTACAGAGCAAATGTGTCTCTGGTTCTAAGCAGGGCTGCTTGGAGTCTGGGTAGCTCAGGACCCAGTCGGCAATCATTGCTGTCATGGAAGCAGAATCCTTCAATCTTTCAGGTTACTAGATGCTCTGGTGAATGATACAGCACATTTTCCAAATCCCAAGGTTGAGAACTTCAAGAAAAAGAAACACCACCAATGAAAACCAGCCATCTCCAGCCTTCCTTTTCTCCTTCCTTGGCATTAATTCCGGTTTGATATCTTTGTTTGCAGCATGCCAACCGGGTTCTTACGGGCCAGACTGTAAGCTTTGGTGCAGGTGCTCCAATGGGGAACGTTGCGACCGGTTCCAAGGATGCCTCTGCTCTCCAGGATGGCAAGGACCACAGTGTGAGAAAGAAGGTAAAACAAGGGAACCCTGTGGTCAGGGCTGGGCAAAAGCCCACTCAGGGCTCTGCTCAGTCCCTTCCTCTCACTCATCTGCCACTTCCAGGCTTGCCAATCAGCGGGAAGATAATCCATTTTTGGGAAATTCTCATGCATATCAGCCTTGAGGGTATTACCATTAGTCAAGATTATCGTGGGGTTGTTTGCTGAATGGAAGAAACTTTTTGGGTAGTAATTCTTATAGATAGCTGAGGGAGACTAAAGAGGAAAGTTTGGGGAGATCTGATCATGATGATAAATGACATTTTGAGACTGAAAGTCCCAGGTCTGTTGAGAGAGACTGTATGTGGTGAAGAGCTTTTGATTCAAACACTCCTAGGTCCTGGGCCTCTGGCTTTTATCTATGAAATGGGAAAGACAATAGTCCTCACTTCATGAGTTCATCATGTGTCAAGAAAGTGTATGAAGACTTTAACTCAGCTAAACACCAGCTTTTTTTTTTTTTAACTGTTACTGTTGTGGTAGTGATAATGGTTGATTTCACAATGCTCTTTTCTTCTTTCAGGCGTGACTCCAAAGATTGAGGATTTGCCAGATTATATAGAAGTCAACAGTGGTAAATTTAACCCCGTCTGCAAAGCCTCTGGCTGGCCACTACCTGCCAATGAAGAGATGACACTGGTAAAGCCAGATGGCACCGTGCTCCATGTAAGAGTCTTGCTTAATCTGACCTCCTGCCATTGCTCGATGCTTTTGTTATACTGATTATTCAGTAAAGGTTAGATCCCATGCAAGGTTTATTCCTGGGTGGGGCTGTGGTTCATTTTTACAAAATTCCAAGCTGTTGTTTACTTTGACAAGATGCTGTGTTCCCAGGTGACAGGGCAGCCGTAACACATGAGAACATATGTCCACCCCTCAAGATGAATGTTCTGGACAATGTTTACCAGGCAGAACAGTGTATGGGGAGGAGTACACAGATCTGCCCCCACAGTATCCCCACATCTTTAACTCTTCATACCAGAGTAAGCGTAGTGGTCTGATGGTCAGGTGACAGGGCCGCAACTGAAAACCCAAGACTCTGAAGGTGGAGAAATGAGTGGTCTGTGCCTGTCTCACTTGGCAATTTAGAGGAGCATTGAAAGTAGTTCAGGGTAACTGATTTGCCTCCAGGGAGACAGTGCTTGAATGTCCTCACTTTGTTTCCCACTCTGAAACCAGGATACAGGAAACAAGGGATGCCTTAAGTCTGAAGGTTCCTTTGAGTTCCCCTCCATCTTCACCTTGCCCACCTCGCTGATATTCACCACAAGTCACCTCAAAATTACAACAATTTCCCTTCCTTGAACAGGGCTAAGTTTGCCCTTCTGACAAGCTTCTTTTTCATTGTCCCCCTCCACGTCTCAAACTCTATAGAAAACCAACTTAAATGTCTGTCACAAGTGAGTCTCAGGAACTTGAAACAAGTTCTGGTCTGAAGATTTTTAAGTGGTTACCTTACTTTTCTCTCAAAAATGACAGTGAAACTAACTTCTGACCTGAAGACAGAACCAGACAAAAGCTAAGAGTTAAGATATGTAAAATGTGAATTTTAAGATTGTTGTTGTTGTTATGTGCCATCAAGTCGCTTGCAACTCATAGCGACCCAAGTATAAGAGCCCTAAAAGCCATTCTATCCTGTGCCAACCTCACCGTCTCAAACACACTCATTCCCACCACTCCACTCACAGAACTGATCAATATTTCAAATCTCTCAAACAAAGACAGAAGAACAGTGATAGCTTCCAAAATCTTAATGGCTGTTTTGTGAGTTAGTGGAAGTAATAATTTCCATCGAGGGAGGATTGACTCTACCCTGCATAGCATCTCATTTAATATTAAAGCAAACAAACAAATCCATTGCTATTTAAATTTTTGACCCACAGTGACCCAATAAGACAAAGCAGAGCTTTCCCATAGGGCTTCCAAAGCTGGAATCTTCATGAAAACCACCTGTACAGTAACCTTTCCATGACCAGTCAAGCTCTTACCCACCACGGCATGGCTGTGTCTTCCACATATCATTACGTATCCTCTTTTTGCAGAAGTAGAAACTGACTAGTTTGAGTAAAACGAAGAACTGAGGAAAAATAGCAGAGCTGGGGTGTGAATTCATTACGGGCTGAGTGTGTTTTCAAAGCCCTGGTTTTGCTCAACACACCACGTTCAGTGGCCCTTCACACATTAGGAAACCACCCAGTCATCTCTGACTGGAAAGAAATGTCAGCAGAAGCAAGTTAAAAGGAAACAGCCTCCTTGCTTACTGAGTGTTTACCTCACACTGTCAAACACACAAACACAACAGCAGGCTTTGAGAGGGCATTGATCCAACAAAAACTTTCAACGCTACTACAATAACTTTGGAAATAAGCCAGTATTTATACTAACATTGCATTTAGCTTCTTAATCTTGCCTGGAAAACTTCTTATTAAACAATGAGAGGGAGTCAGGGTTATGGGCCTTGTTTTTATACCTCCTTAGCTCTTTGTTTTTTGAATCTGACCTTTCCAGCCCAAAGACTTTAACCACACGGATCATCTCTCAGTGGCCACATTCACCATCCACCGGATCCTGCCCCCTGACTCAGGAGTTTGGGTCTGCAGCGTGAATACCGTGGCCGGCATGGTGGAAAAGCCATTTAACATTTCGGTTAAAGGTAAGCTCCATTTTCCAGAGGAAAAGCTTTCATCCTTAATGTGCTGGTTTGCGTATCACTGTGAAATGCGCTGCTTCTAGAGGAAAATGCAGACTGACTACTTAAATATTCCTCAAATGCTTCCAAGACACTATGCAGGTTTTAAAAATATGTAGGGAAATACAACTGAAGGATAAAGAGTTTGACCTTTGGAGTTTCGCAGTCCTGCATACAATTTTGCCTGTAACTCTCAATAATCTTGAGTATGTCTTTGGGCAAATCATTGAATCTCTCTGAGCCTTCTTCTCCTCCCTCCATCTATGTTGATGTTGTTAAGTTGTTAAGTGCCGTCGAGTCGGACACGACCCATAGCAACCCTGTGAACAAAAGTCCTGGACACCTCCTGTATAACTTTGGTCCTTTCTCCAGGTTCATAGGGTTTCCAGAGGCAAGCTATTGTGGAAGTGGATGCCACTCCTGCTTTTCTCCATCTATAGATGAGGCTTAGCTTGTTTGTTAGAGTTCTGACACTAGTCCCTGGAAGACATAAAGCATTTAAGTGCTTGACTGATAATTGAAAGGTTAGCAGTTCAAATCGAGGTAGAGGTGTCGTTGATAAAAGCCTGGTGATCTACTTCTGAAAAACCAGCTTTTGAAAACCATAGTATAAACTGACACACATAAGGTCACGATGAGTCAGGATCGACTTGACAACAGCTGGTATAACTTGTAATGTCAATGTAAGTTAAATAAGGTGTCAAAACTGTGGAACACTTAGAACTGTGCCTGGCTCAACATATTAATTTGGTGGTGGTGGTGGTGGTGGTGGTGGTTGTGGTTGTGTACTGTCAAGTCAGAACTGACTCATAGCTGACCCTCCAGAGGGTTTTCAGAGACAGTACATCACACAGGAGGAGATTTCCCATCCTTCTCCCACTGAGCAGCTGGTGGATTCAAACCACGTACCTTTGCATTGGTAGCACGACTCTTGACGACTTAAGCCACCAGAGCTCCCTGTGTATCTAGTAGTAGTTACATTACCTAAAATATTTTATATGAATTCTCATTTGCTGATGTTGGAAATAGTTTGAGAAAGTCTTCATTTTTAGAACCTATTACTTAAGCTGAAGCCCAGGCTATATATATATATATAATATTATATTTCATGTTCTGGCTCGTGGGTTTTTTTCCTGCTATGAATTAGTCTTTCGAAAGTCAAATTTGTCCAAGTGGGTCCTTGCACACTCGTGGTTTGAGAAGAGTAAAGCAGAGTGAACCCAAGTTTGCTCAGCTTATTCATGAACAAGTAAGGAATTTTTAATCTGGAAGTTACTTGTGAACCCACTTAGAAAAATAAAACTAACATCTCTCTGGTGTGTATTTTGGAAAATCTGAGTTTGGTACATACTTTATCTTATCGAATCATTATAAGAATCTTATGCAGTAGATATTGTTACCCCATTTTACCAGTGAGGACGCAGATCGAGAGGATTTAGTTATCTTGTCTTAGCTGGTAAATAGCAACTCTTAGTTTTGAACCCATGTCTGACTCCAAAACCTGGACAGGTCTGCTAGACCATTCTGCTTGCTGGCTCTCTTGTGTCAAAGATGAGGATACAAGATACCCAAATGTGATTAATGTGTGGTCAATTGCATTTCTTGGTTAGACTCTTATGGGAGATCCCAAGATTTAAAAAAAAATAGATTCATTAAATGAATGCAAATACCCAGGATGTCATTTTTTGTTGTTGTTAAATGCTAACAGCTAAGCGCAATTGATAACAGTGCATCTAAATTCCAAAATCAATCTCCATAATAGTCTATGTGTTTCCTACTGCCAAAGGGGCCCTTTAGAGTAGTGAGAGAAGACATTCACCCTGAAACCCACAGCGTCCCTTTTCAGCAGGAAGTAGCTAAGAGAATATGCCATCCCCTTTTCCTTATGAATCAGGGTGAAGTCTCTCTCAGGGAGGAGAGACAGGGAATGACAAGGGACACACTGACAAAGGAGATTAATCAGAACTGGCTTTGACAAGCACTGTGGCAATTTGACAATTAAAACAGACATTGGGTGGGGGGGAGAAGAACTGAACTGGGGAGGAGGGTGGAGAAAACAGTGCAACAATGAATGAATTAAAACCCAAAATCTCTGTAAATGTTCATTCAAACGAATAAAATTTAATAATAAAAAAAGCAATTCTGCCAAGAATAAAACCTTAATGTCTAAAGACTAACTTGATTACTAAAATTGTATTTAGTTCTTCCCAAGCCCTTGAATGCTCCAAATGTGATCGACACTGGACATAACTTTGCTGTCATCAACATCAGCTCCGAACCTTACTTTGGGGATGGACCGATCAAGTCCAAGAAGCTTCTGTACAAACCTGTTAATCATTATGAAGCTTGGCGGCATATTCCAGGTAAGGCCTGGGCACAAAAGGATTGACTGAGAATCTTGCACCTGGAAAAGTGTATCCCCTAGATATGGAAATCTCTTTTCCCTGTTTGATCCTCTACCCAACATGCAACTCTAGGAGAGTTCCATTTCAAGAGTAGAGAGAATACAGAATTAACTTTTTGGTAATCATTGTATATGAGAGACACACATCAGCTTACTTCAGGGTATTATATTGCTATCAGTATGTGTAACAGTTCCTTCCTTGGTTTCTTTAACTTTTCATACCTGGTCTTAGATATTCTATCTTGCTTGATCATACCGAAAAAATACACATTTTTACTAGAACTATGAAAACAGAACCATGCAGAGCATTCTAGACAGGGGAAAACAATCTTTCTAAATCCTAATGGTGATTGTTGCTTCCTTTCCAAGTCATTTTTCTCTCTCCTTCCATGTGTTGTTTTGATCTGAATGCCCACTTTAACACCCACAGATTGTTAGAGGAATTTGGATCCAAAAGGGTTGAGCTGTGTCCTACTTAGCTGGTAAAAGGGGAGAGGGGTGTGGGCAACTTCCCTCTAACTTCCTGAAGAGTAAAAATATAAATAAGATCTGACAGAATGCCAAGATTGCATGAAAGCTGTTAGCGATATTTTTAAACACAAACCGCAGTTCAATTTGCTTCATGATGTTTATTGATTGATTGTTCTACTTTGATTGTGCTATTTTGTGGGGTGGCCTTTCACAACCATGCTTATGGGTAATGCAAATCCCAAATTAATAGCTTAACACATAGTCTTGCTAAGCTTATGATTTCCTCACATTATGTAGATAACTGAGGAAGTTACAAAAAAGGAGGGGAAGGGAGGGTTTTCTTGGCTTAATTATTCCTGCTGATCTGGCTACATTGAATAAACTCATTATCACATTATTACTGAGCTTTTTGGAATAATTTTTGGAGTCAGCCAGAAGTCATAATCTCAGACACCTAAGGTAGATTGGACGGAGTCCTGTATCCATCAACAACCTAGTAGCAGGTCTTATTAGAAGTCAGATTCACACACACCCCGCCCCCAAAGATATCAGTAGTCCATTGCCATTTTGGTCAAGTGGACCTCCACAAAGTGATCTTCCAAGAACTTTTATCATGTGTTAAGGCAAAAATTGACCTTTGCAATATCCATGGTGAAACAGATTGTGTAAAATAAATAGATAAGGGAACATAAGAAGGAGGTATCATTTGACTGTTGTTGTTGTTATTAGGTGCCATCAAGTTGACTCTTCCCAACATCAACTCTACAAACAACAGTCTGAACCTTGCCCTGTCCTGTGGCATCCCCTCATCTCTCACCTTGTGCCCACTGGTACAGTCGCTGTGTCAATCCGTCTTGTGAGGGCCTTCTCCTTCATTTACTTTCACTTTTCCAAACATGGTGTCCTTTTCTAAGGACTCGCCCCTCCTAACAGCATGCCCAGAATATGTGGGACACAGCTTTACCGTCCTTGCTTCCGTGACTCCTGGGTGCACATTCTCCAAGGCATATTTGTTTGATCATCCACGAGATATTTAGTTCTCTTCTCCAACATCATTACTTAAAGGCATCTATTTTTCTTCTGTCGTCATTAGTCATTGTCCAACTTGCAGATTCATAAAAGCAATCGAAAAGACTATAGCTTAGATCAGGTATACCTTAGACTTTAAACTGACATTATTGTTTCTTAACACCTTGGAGAGGTCCTTGATAACAGATCTACAAATTGCTTGTTTTCGTGTTGTTGCTGATTGCCATCAAGTCGAGCATGACTCATAGCGACTCTATAAACAAAAGGCTCGAAGCCTTTCTATAACTATCATCATTTCTCCAAGTTCATAGAGTTTCCAGAGGCATGTGGTTTAGGAAATGGATGCCACTCCTGCTTCCAAACATGTCTTAAACTGGAGCACCACCAAAAACTGTCCACCATGGGTAGCCACTATGACATTTGAGCCCCCAATTGCACAAGATTCAGCATAACAGCAAACTCAGATTACCTCAGTGCAGCAAATTGACAGAGGAGTGCTGTAAAACTTAGAAGAATATTCCTCCAAAATAAAATAACACTAGACCTTTGGGCCCTATGACTTTTAAATACAATTTGCTTAAGGTGGACTATATTCAACATTTTAGAGTTCTTCACACATGGTTATTACAAATCCATTATTCCTTGTCATTATAAGCAAGAGTGTTTCTCTTGATAGCTTAATCACAGTAAGAAAGTATGTTGTTGTTGTTGTTGTTGTTGTTTTTGTTGTTAGCGGCCTCCAAGAAGACTATGAATTGTAGAGACTATAAACAACACATCTGAACCTTGCCTGTTCTGTCCTCGTGATCTCTGATATGCTTGAGCCCATTTTTACAGTCATTTCCTTGAAAATATTAAAAATTCATCTTTTTTATTGTCCTAATTGATGTTTTCTGCCCCTAAATTTGAATCCATTGAGGATTTGTGAACTTTCTCTGTACAAATGAAACAACAAAGCATTAAGCGGCACAGAAATACAACTACAATGTATACACTATAACCTGGAAAGGCCCCCTTAAAAAGTCTTTTTTCCCTTGTATTGGAAATGGTGAGTCCTAAATTGACTGTTTCTCTAACATGGCATTTTTTTAAAAACCTCACTTTGGTCCACCTCACAATAACAACAATGCGAGTTGAAAGAATGTTGAAGAACGCCAGCATCAGTTTCCTGTACTTTCCCTCTTCTCAGTGACAAGTGAGATCGTGACCCTCCACGCTCTGGAACCTCGGACAGAGTATGAGCTCTGCGTGCAGCTGATCCGCAGAGGAGAGGGAGGGGAAGGGCATCCTGGCCCCGTGAGACGGTTCACAACAGCATCCATCGGTCTGTGAGAGCCAACAGGCATCTATCCATGAGCCGGGTGGGAGGAGGAGGAAGGGGAAAGAGGAAGGAAGACCAGGAAGGGTGGTGGTGGGCGAGTGGGTGGGTGGGGAGGGAGGTGGAAGGAGTTTGCGTTTGAATGGGTGGGTAAAATGACAGGAAAGCTAACAACCTCAAGCCAAGCAGTTCCTGTATTTGGGCTGGACTCTGGCCTCCCTCCCTGGGGGTGGGGGTTCGTGGAATTCCAGGGGGACAGAGAAGGAAGCAGATGAACCTTCAGAAGGGCAGGGACATACATCTCTGAGGCATTGGGATACCACTGACTTCCTGTTTTGCTTGTAGGGGCCCAGGCCAGGACCTGGCCACATAAATACTTCAGAAATCCCAGTGTATTTATTTGCAAAAATAACTTCTAATTTTTCAAAGTAATTAGTTTATGTCATTAAGACAGCCGCAAATTAGTTTATCTGAAGAGCCACCCTCTTCTGCACTGCCCTGACCCTCAGATCTGCTTCTGAGGGACAAGTATTTTAAATTCTCCAGTTATTTCTCTGTTTTTCTAAATCAATGACTCTCAAAATTTAGCATTCATCATAATCACCGGGAAGTTAAAATGTAGATTGACTTGTTGAAAAACTTAATTGAAAGAGAGATTCTCAGGCTCTGGCCCCAGATTTCTAGCAGAGGTGGTGAAGGGGCTGTAGAGTTTAGTTTCCAGTAAGTTCCCAAATAATGCTGGTGTTCCTGGTTCTGGACCCACATCTTCTAAATAATATATTAATATTTCTTGACACATCAATGTTCATATCTACTTACTTTCTATTGTGCTAACTGAAGACCCTTGAATCTGTGAATTCATTTGTGAATATCTCCTGGCCAGTGCTTTACAATTTCAGGTCCATATATATTTAACTCGTGCTACTATGAAAACAAACCACTAGCTCGACTCATTGGAACTAACTCATAACTGATCTCCAATGGGATGTTGTTCTGTTGTGTGCTGTTGAGGCAGAACTGACCCAGAACTGACCCTCCAGTGGGTTTTCGAGGCAGTAGATCTTTTGGGAGGAGATTTCCCATCCTTCTTCCACAGAGCAGCTGGTGGATTTGAACCACATGTTTTTGGGATTGCAGCGCACCTCTTACCACTAAGCCACCAGAGCTCCCTCCAGTGGGGTTTTGTTGTTGTTGTGTGCCATAGAGTCAGAACCGACCCGTAGCTGACCCTCCAGTAGGCTTTCAGAGGCAGTTAATTGCATGGAAGGAGATTGCCATCCTTCTCCCTTGGAGCAGCGAGTGGGCTCAAAGAGGCGGTTAACTACACAGGAGATGTTCCACCTTCATTTTTGTGGAGCAACTGGTAGATGCAGACTGCAAAAGAGGCATCCTATTTCAACTACCTATAGACTAAGCCACCAGGGAATGGATTCTCCTCTTCTCTGTTTTAGAAATGGAAAAAGTCTCAATAGGGTTCATAATTTGTCCTTGACGATGCTTCTTATGTATGCCAAGTCTCGAAATTTGGAAACCAGCTCTTCTGATTTCATATCTTTTTGCTTCTCTGACTTTTATTACTTTTACCAAGGAGTCTAGAGGTGCCATTTCCATATGCCAATGAGCAGACTTTCCCACTTTCTGGTCCACTCATTAAGAGCAGCAGGATATGAGGATTTAATAAGAAAACTAGGAAGTACATCTGGCTCTCTCTCCTTCAGGGACTATCCGCTCCTATCAGAAACCTCCTTCCACACTAACCAGCCAGTTTTCACCTGACCAGTGTCTTTGGGGAATCAAATGAGACTCAAGAGGCCTCTGGCACTCGTAGAGACATACCACAAGAAATGGCTTCACTTGAATCCTTTGGGTTGTGAGTGCAAAAATAAAACCAGAAAAAAGGAGACACCTTGATCAAGACCTTGATCAAGACAAGGACCTCTGGTGGCATAGTGCCTTCTGTGTTTCACAGCTAAATGAAAGTTCAGAAGAGGTCCAAATCCACCAGCTGTTCTGAGAGAAATAGGAGACGATGCCTCCTATGGAGATTTATAACTTCGCAACCCCCTGAAGGAACCAGGCTGACGGCCGCTTGGAGCTTGATCACGGCACATAAATTAGAGACTAAAGGGACCCCGACAGCTGTGATCAAAGGGCCCTCGACTCTGCTCAGGTCTATGGTAGTTCTCGCCCAGGTCATTGTTGATGAATCAAAAGGGGAAGGTCACACTCTGACTCAGATGGAAAACATGAAACACTTCACAGCCCCACACTGTACGGTCTTCAGGCCACGGAATATCGTCCAGCCAGGATGTATTTCGAGGTCTCTTCGAGTATATCAAAGTGGTTCTCAGGCAGAGGTGGGAAGGGGAATTTTGAAGGTTCTCTTTTTTCCCATCATTTGAATTTTGCTGATGTTTGTTTTCTTAATTCATCTGACAGTTACATTATTATAAATGTGTTGACTGAGATGGTGAAGGCCGGGAGGCTAGAAGGGGGGGGGGAATGAGCGTGTTTAGAGCACATGGTAGAAAGAGGTGAGTGGGGAGAGGCGAAGGGCCAGTCAGGGCGGTTTACTGAGCTGCTCCTCTGTACCTGGCACAAGCTTAGGAAATGTTCACGTATTCTCCCAAACAGTGACCCTGTATTCTACACTGTTGTTCTTGAGGGCCTGCAGAACCACTCCGACTTGCTGATTTTAAAATTTCAGCTTTAAAGATTAGCAAACGGAGTTTACATCACTTCTCTCAATGTGCTAAGGTTGTAGGGGAAAGACCAGGCGGACTTTTAGCATGATGTAAATAAAGCAAATTCATTACCTGATTTCTGGATCCCTCTAAAGGAGTTCTGGTGGCCTAATGGGGAAGGAGCTGTGTGGCCACCCCCAAAAGCATGTGATTTGAATCCACCAGCTGCCGCATGGCAGAAAGATGGGAAATCTCCCATGCAGTTGGCAGCCTCTGAAAGCTCACTGGAGGGTCAGCTAAGAGTGAGTTTTGACTCAAGGGTAATGAGTTGGTTTGGTTTCCACTCGTCTACCAGCAGTCAGAACTCCTCCAGTAGGAGCTCCTTTCCAGGTGAATGGAAACGGGTCATGGAGAAGACGTTCCCCTTCGCCTCAAGAGATGGAACAGTGTTCCTCAGTCCCTTCTCGTTATTGCTTTTCTAAAGAGCTTTTGGAGGAACCCTGGTGGCAAGTGGTGGCACAGTGGTTGAGGGCTTGACTGCTAACCGAAAGATTGGTGGTTCGAAATCACAGGATAAAAATGTGGCAGCCTTCCTCCATAAAGATTAAAAGCCTTTGAATCCCAATGAGGAAGTTCTCCTCTGTCCTATAGGGTCACTATAAGTCTGAATTGACTAGATGGGACCAGGGGAACAGATCTCTCTAAGTAGCTGCTAAAGATATTTGTGTTTTAACAAGTGTCCTACTGTGAAATTTAAATACCACAGACATGCTCTGTATGGGCTTATGTATTGTCGTATTTTGTAAACCATTATAAAATAGCTAAGGGAGCTCTGGTTACCTGATGGGTAAGGAGTTGTGCTGCTAACTCAGAGGCTGGTGGTTTGAATCCACCAACAGAACTGTGGGAGAAGGATGGTCACTCTCCTCTCACGCAATTTACAACCTCTGAAAGCCCGCTCGAGCGATGAGTCATTTCTGACAACAATGAGTTTGAGACGTTTTAAAATTAGATATTAAAATTATTTTAAAAATGTATTATTCTTGGTAGCATAAAAGAACTTCTTTCCCCTTTAGCTTGTGTTTCTTTGGTTGTTTGTGAAGTGGCATATTATTCAAGAAGCCAGTTATTCTTTGAAGCTGCCCTTTTGCGAATGCCTTTATCTCCATCCTGTGAAAAAATAATCATCTTCCTGCTTTCTCCTAGGCCTCCCTCCTCCAAGAGGTCTCAGTCTCCTACCCAAGAGTCAGACCACTCTAAATCTGACCTGGCAACCAATATTCCCAAGCTCAGAAGATGATTTCTATGTTGAAGTGGAGAGGAGGTCCATGCAGATGAAAAGTGACCAGCAAAATATCAAAGTGCCAGGCAACTTAACCTCGGTACTCCTTAACAATTTACACCCCAGGGAGCAGTACGTGGTCCGCGCCCGCGTCAACACGAAGGCCCAGGGGGAATGGAGTGAGGATCTCATCGCCTGGACCCTCAGTGACAGTAAGTAACTCCTCCTGCCCTCGCCTTTCTAGGCCAGCATTTAGCTGGTGCCCTCTGGGTTCCTCTCGCTTTACTTCCAGTTTCTTAGCAGTTAATTCACTATGAGGGAAAGGCTTAGTTCCCTCCTTTTCCACCACATTTCACAGGTGTATGCACCTGGGGGTTAGATGGTCAAGTCCTGGACTAATGACTGGAAGATGGTAATACAAATGCACTGAGAGGCTCCTAGGAAGAAAGGCTTGATGATCTCTTTCCCAAAGGTCACAGACACAAGAAACCCTAAAAAGCAGTGATCCACACATGGGGTGGCCCTGAATCAGAATTAACTTGGCAGCAACTTTGACTTATTTGTTTTACTATATTATATTAAAAGGCTTCATCAATTTGTATAATTGGTCCTCTGGTGGTGGTATCCGTATGAATTATCCTTCTAACCCAAAGGCTGTGCCTCTCCTGAGGCTGCAATCAATGAGGGGAAAAGCTGGGCCATCTGCTTGGGGATGACTGACAGCTAGGAGTTAGAGTTGACCCTTCTATGGTGAGCTTGTGTGATAAAATTTACCCTTTTTTTGGTAATTTAAATTATGAATATAAATAAGCATTGCCAGGATGGATGGTGAAGAGATTGAGATTGTACACAGCTTTAGTTTGCTTGGCTCCATAGTCAACAGTCTTGGCATCAGCAGCCAGGAAATTAAAAGGCGCATTGCCATGGGAAAGTCTGCTGTTAGGGACCTCTCCAAAGTGCTGAAGAGCCATGGTATCTTTTTGGAGACTAAGGTGCGTCTGATACAGGTCATGGTCTTCGCAATCACTTGTTATGCATCAGAGAGTTGGACAATGACCAAGGAGGATAGAAGGAGAATTGATGCCTTTGAGCTGTGGTGCTGGAGAAGAGTATTGAGAATACCATGGACTGCTAGGAAAACAAACAGATTTGTCCTGGAAAGGGTTAAACCGGGTGGCTCCTTGGAGGCAAGAATTCTGAGGCTCCGTCTAACATACTTTGGACATGTTGTGAGGAGAGACCGGTCCTTGGAGAAGGACATCATGCTTGGGAGGGTGGAGGGACAGCGCAGGAGAGGAAGGCCCTCTATGAGGTGGGTTGATTCAGTGACTGGGATAATTGGGATGGGAGTGTCAGAGACAGTGCAATTGGCACAGGACAGAACGGAGTTTAGGGCTGTTGTACATAGGGTCGCTATGAGTCACAAGCGACTCGACGGCACATAACAAAAACAACAAAGAGCTCTGATGGTTGAGTGGTAAGGAGCTGCGGTCCCCAGAGTTTGGGGATTGGTCTGTGATGTCGGCAAGTTTTTGCAAATCCATAAGCATGAATTTCAATCCATCAGCTACTCTGAGGAAGAAAGATGGGCAATTTCCTCCCGGGCCATTTACTGCGTCTGAAAACCTGCTGGAGGGTCGGCTATGAGTTGGCTTGCTCTTGATGGTCCCTAACAACAATAACAATAGTTTGTTTCATTTCTTATACAGTGACGGTTCAGGGGGTTTTGAATATCGCTTTTGAAACAGATGTTGACCATTTACAGATGAGTCTTTCCTAATCTTGACAATCAAATAATTTTGCTTGAAAATTTTTCTTGAGATTTCTTAAAATTATTTTGAGTAAATCTGTGAGTAGTGAAATCAGTTTATTTCCCAATTGAAAAAATTGGCAATTCAAATTATTTGGAATATCTGGGGTTTCCTTGTAGTATGGAAAGTTTTCTGATCATTAATAGAGAGTCTGTTTGGACTCTTAGATGAGAACGGTGTTTGCCTTTGGAGCCTGAGAGGACCAGCATTCCTTGACCAGGCCAGTTGTCAGTTTAGTTGAGAGCTTTTGGTCGCATGCCACCTCTTTAAGTCTGAAACTATCTTCTGCTTTGCAGTGTGAAAGTGGGCTCGATGTGTCTCCAGCCACTTTTTTATTAGCAACTCATGGAAATCTGGACTGTTTACTCAGAGGTTAGAGAGGCTCTATTAGCTTAAAAAAATGGTGAAAGTAAAAGGCAACAGAACAGTGCAAAGTTTTAATTTTTAGATAGCTAGCAAGGTTGAGTATCTTTTCTTATGTTTGTTGAGCATTTAGATTTATTCTTCTGTAATATACCTATTTGTACTTTTCCCCCATATACTTTGCCTTTTTAAGAAGTTCTTGCTTTCAGTCCTTTTAGTTCATTTAATTTTGGCTACTTTTTTTTTTTTATGTAGACTGGACTGCTAGTATATTCTTCCACTCCTAATTTATTTCAGCCTTACTTATGATGTCTTTTATCTCAAAGACAAGTTGAATTTTGATGCAATTATACTTATCAATATTTCTTTTATGGTTTATGCTTTGTTGTATTTAGTTTTAGGAATTCTTTCTTATCCTAAGTTCATAAATGTATTTTCTATGTTGGGGTAGGTTGTTTTGTGTTTTTTTTTCCAGAATAGTTCTTGTGTTTCTGTTTTGCATGTTTACATCATTAAGATACAAGATATTATTATGGTGTTCTGGTGCAGATAGGATTTTAATCTTATTCATTTACATAGGAAAACTCAATGATCCCATTAGCAAATATTTCATAGAATAACAGCGTTAGTGATTTGTGATGCTTTTTGTATCATGTGCCAAATTCTCATATTTGTTTTGAACTGATTTCTAGGTGCTCTGTTCTTATCCGTTGACCCATATGTCTGCTCCTGCATGATTTCCAGCCCACTTAAATTGTTCCAGATTTATAAAATGTCTTGATAACTGAGGGATGAATCATGATTTATATATCAAAATTGTGCATCATAGGTATTCATGAACTAACTCTTCTACCTGAATTTTACCTTCATTAGAATGAAATACTATAAGAATATAATAGTCAGCATTATATTTGTGGAATTAAATGAAAATTAGCTAGTAGTTACTGTACCAGAAATATATCTAGGGCAAAGGTGGACACTGCAGATCATATGCAGAGACATGGCAACGAAGCCTTTGGACTATGTAAACCAGCCTGCCAAAGGTTACATCCTGTTTCTGTGACTTAATAGCTGTGGGACTTGGGCAGAGACACTTAGCATCTTTGAGCCTCAATACTTTCAGTAGAAGTATTATACAGAGGAAATGAATTAGTATATGGAATACGCATACCCCATTATGAACACTATCCAAATAGCTACTCTTCTCAACAGCATCAAGAATGGTGGAACCTAGGATTATGGAGTAACAGAAGTGATGAAGTCTTAGTTGAATACTTAGCAAACCAGACTAACTCATTAGAGTCCAGTTCATTTCTATTCATAAGCACCCTGTAAAACAGAGCAGAACTGCCATTAGCCTTGAGTTCCCAAAGCTGTACATCTTTATGGAAACCAACTGCCAGATCTTTTCCCTACAGAGTGGCAATGCTTAATCCAGTGTGCCACCATGGGTGCTAATTTAATATAGGGATGGCAGTAATATGACATCTATATTGCCACATTCCCTTCCTAGACCCTTTTGCTGAGTCTGTAATGGCATCCAGTAGCCACTACCAATCAACTGGAATTATCCTTTTAGAACATTTGCCACCCATAGTTAATAATGAACTATGTGAATGAGCTCTCAATAGCACAATAATCTAAGCCTTTACAGTATCTTAAGTGAAACATTATCTGTTTTAAAATTTCTAGTTCTCCCTCCTCAACCTGAAAACATCAAGATTTCCAATATCACGGACTCTTCGGCTGTCATCTCTTGGACAATCCTCGATGGCTATTCCATATCTTCTATTATCATCCGTTACAAGGTTCAAGGCAAGAATGAAGACCAGCACATTGATGTGAAGATCAAGAATGCCACCATCACCCAGTACCAGCTCAAGGGCCTAGAACCTGAAACCACTTACCAGGTGGACATTTTTGCAGAGAACAACATAGGGTCAAGCAACCCAACCTTTTCTCATGAGCTGATGACCCGCTCAGAATCTCAAGGTTGGTGGACAGGTATTTACATTGGGCTACTTGGGGATAGCATCAGAAAAATACTACTCTCGTAGGATATTTACCGTTTTGCTTACCACATGACTTAATTACTTGTCTTACCCAAACCCTCAAGACCCCAACTGATAGGCTAATCCATTCCCAGATTTAATGATAGAACATGTACCACCTGGCTGGCCTTTCCACAGAATGGTTGATACTTATTCTGTCCTTAAACCTGGGAACAGATTAGATTATCCTATCAGCTTATTCTCCACTCCATGGCATAAAAAGAAAGCTCTGAAGGAATAGATATAAATGTTGGAGGAACAAGCTTATAAAACTTGCTGACAGAGGCAGACTTAAGCTGGTGCACAGTGATAAATGACCATCCATGAAAATGACCTCATTTAGCTTCATGCTATTCGACATTTTCTTTAATTTCTCTGATCTGGTTTGTTAATGTATGACTACAGCTCTACCCATAACTCCCTCTGTAGAGAGAATATTGTGGTTGTGTCCCATGGAGTCAGAACGGACCCAGAGGGACCTTCAAGCGGGTTTTAAGAGGCATTAAGTCACACAGGAGGAGATTGTCCATCCTTCTCCCACAGAGCCACTGGTGGACTTGAATTTCATGCCTTTGGGTTAGCAGTGCAATTTCTTACCACTAGGCCACCAGTGTTCTCTCGGAAAGACTAGGATAAACTTTTTAGGTCCTTATCCTTTTAGGGTGCAAAGCTCACAGCTACACCCTTTAATGGGTGATGTAAGCTGTTATATTTGATTATGTGAAGTCCCCAAGATGTGGATGGAGTTGCAGCATGTGATTCTTTCACTTTGTTGGCTGTGTGAATTGCACCAGGTGCTATTCTGCACTGCACAACATGCAAAAGGAAAAATAGATCGACAATGAGGAGTTGTTAGGTGCCATCTTGCCCAGAGAAGGACGAGCAGTCTCCTCCCCAGTGATTGTCTGCCTCTGAAAACTCACTGGAGGGTCAGCACACAACACCAAGTTGATGATGACTCATGACCATTCTATGGGCCACGCATCTGAACCACGCTTCGTCCTGCACCTCCTTGTGAGCTGTCAATGCTCATGCCCACTGAGGCAGTCATTGTGTCGATCCATCTAGTGGATGGTTTTCTTCTTTCCCTGGTCCTCCACCTTTCTTATTATGATGTTTCTCTCCAGAAAGGCTGGTTCCTCCTGTAAATACACCCAAAATAGGGAGATGAACTTTTGTATCCCTGGTGTGTCCACTTGCTGTACAGAGGTAATGCGTGGTGGCTGTGAAGCTAAACACTGTGACACCAATGTGTCAAATTCGAGAATGGTTACCCATAGTGGACAGTGTTTGGTGGAGCTCCCCGATTAAAACAAGCTTGGAAGCAGGAGTGGCATTCACTTCTGAAATAGCTTGCCTCCGAGACCATATGACCATAGAGAAAGGATGAAAGTTAAACAAGCATTCAGGTTTTTCGTTCATAGGGTCACTAAGAGTCACCTATGACTCGATGGCACTTAACAACAACAACCACCACCCTTAACTCTAAGGAGCTTCTTCAAAACAGGTTTGTTCATTCTTTTGCCAGTCCATGAGATAGTCAGTACTTTTCTCCAGCACCACAGTTTAAAGGCATCGACTCCTCTTTTGTCATCCTTATTCATTGTCCAATTTTCAGATGCATAGGAAGCAGCAGTTAAAAAGACCCTGACTTGGTCATGACCTTAGTATTTAAAGTGGCAGTGGGGAAAGGAGGTGGAAATGGTAAGTTTTGCCAATTTGTACTTTGGCTTGAGTCAGTTACAGAAAGCCTATCAGCACTCCAAAGCTCTTTTATTTTGTGTGTGTGTGTGTGGGGGGGATTATTAGGGCTTGGAAAAGAAATAAATCACACTGTGTTCACACTGCTGAATCATTCCAATCTTTGAAAATGTCCAAGAAATGATGAGGCAGCCAAGTGTTCAGATCACAATCCTATTAAATGCACACATTTTATCATTACCTTTTGGTAAAATGTATGAATGCCATAAATCCAAGCTATCCATAAAATACAGGTAGGAAAAATAAGAAGGTACCGTGAAAGAATAACCACCCATAGCTAAAACTGACGCCTCTCAGTGCATAAAGGTAGAAAGAAATGCACATAATCATATGAGAACATAGTTACAAAGATGAGTTCATGCACCACATGCTGTTTTAAAAAGAAACTGTATTGAGATTAATTTTATTTCACTTTAAATAAAGGAAAGGAAGGATAGAAATAGACCATAGCTAGAGCCCTTAAATTTCATGATTTTTTTTTTCTCTTGTCTCTTCCTCCTTTTACATATCCTCCTACAACCATCTCTTCCCTCCACTGTGTATTTTCTCAGTATCATGTATCTGGTTAATTATTCTTTATGTTATTTGATAATGTTCCTCTACTTGAGAGTAACACTTGAACAGATGGTGGTTAATAACTTGTACATTGCCATTTGCAAAGGGCTTTAGTACATGTAGATTTTGTAAGATCTTTTAAGAAGTCCGTGAGTCAGACTCATCTCCACTGAAGTTCAGAAAGGAAATGAATGAATAGCCCAAGGCCCCATAGCGACAGTAGCAAGACGGAGGCTGTCGTTACAATCCCATCCTGCTGTCTTCCCCCTCAGACGGTCTTGGCCCATCTTTACCTGCACTAATGCAGCTGTTTTGTCTCTGTTCTCGGCACAGCTGGAGAGAATCTGGGAGGTGGGAAGATGCTGCTGATAGCCATCCTCGGCTCCGCTGGAATGACCTGCCTGACAGTGCTGTTGGCCTTTCTGATCATGCTGCAACTGAAGAGGGCAAATGTCCAAAGGAGGATGGCTCAAGCCTTCCAGAACGTGGTAGTTTCTCATCTTCTTACCAGTCAATAGGCACACATTGACACACATGTAGAACCTTCACTTAGTGGGTGGAGACGAGAGATGTGCTTGTAAAAAGGAGTATTTCCCTTAGGCAAGTCTCATGTTCTCTTCGGCTTTCATTATGAAATGGGTGATACAAAGGCTCACAGTTCAAATCCACCAGCTGCTCGTTGGGAGAAGGATGGGGAATCTCTGTTCGTGTGATTTTTCTCCCTCTAAAAACCTGCTGGAGGGTCAGCTATGGGTCAGTTCTGATTTGATGGCACACATCAATAACAAAATACAATCTTCTGTCCAAACTTGAACAATTTTGAGGTTAAAAGGTAATTTTTTATAAGCATGCAGGAAATTAGCCTAAAACAGGACTACTCCAGCCAAAATGAGATGCTGGTCAACCTATGATAAGTCACCAGAGTGTAATCTTTCAGTAATGAATGAAACTTTTTGGTATGGAAAAAGAAACGTAACTATTTTCTCAGTTTGATAGGTAATAATGTATTGTAGTAGCCAATATTCTTATTCTTCTCTTCACATGTTTCCTACTCCATATATGTATAATGAATTACACAGACATGTGTTTATCCTCCATTCCCATATGCTCCCTCAGTATCCAGTTGTTACTCAAGGCACTTGGCATTGACTCAATCTTTCACCTAGAAATTTCTTTTGACCAGAAGCAAAGGTCTATGAGAGCATACCTGACCAATAGGTTCCCAACCTGAGTCTGGTTTGTGTACGACAGCCTTAGTACTCCTCTAATGTGTAGCTTCAGGATCCATGACATTAATTCATACCTAACTTTAAAATTGTTAATTTCAAACATTGATTACAATAAAATGCTTTGAATGAGGTAAACATTCCTAAGTACATAAATCTCCAGGTTCCTTTCAGTGGAAGAGAAGCAGAGCTCCATTGTCTGTTATCATTATACTGGAGCTGGCTAGAGTTGCTCCTGAAGAAGGGCCAGCAAGTGTGTTAAGTATATTGAGTGCATCAAAGCTTAGGTATTTTATCTGCCAATATGTACATGGATGCAGAGACAAGGAAGACACTGGATTTTGTTATAAGTATCCGTCAACCAAGGGCCAAAGTCTTTCCCAGATTAAGCTTGAGTGATTCCAAGGTTTAGAAGCAGGAGAGAGGAGACAGAGAGGGGAAAGAGCCAAGAGTGGACTGGGTTGAAGCTAGGAAAGCTTTCACTTAGGCATAGCTTACAACTGTTCCAGATAGGATCGCCAAGTTATTTTAGAACAGCTGCTCATTCCACAGCACACTGGGGAATGGCCAACTCAGGGATGGCAAAGATATAACATAACTTGGTCCTTATCCCTGACCTGTTGCAGACATTACTAATCAATCATGGCATGATTGTCCACTGTGATCTAGAATTCTGTCCGTGTAGCTCACCAGGCAGTAACTACCGGTGCATTAGAGCATGCTTGTGAAATTCAATCTATTTCCCACGTCTACTCTAGAATTATACATCTCTTTCTTCTTTTATCTGATGTTGCTACAAACCAGGAGATATTATATACTTTGTATTGTGAAAATTTTTGACATAAACTTATGAAAAAAATTCTTCCCCGCCCCACCAGAGAGAAGAACCAGCTGTGCAGTTCAACTCAGGGACTCTGGCCCTGAACAGGAAGGCCAAGAACAACCCAGATCCTACAATTTATCCAGTCCTTGACTGGAATGACATTAAATTTCAAGATGTGATTGGGGAGGGCAACTTCGGCCAGGTCCTGAAGGCACGCATCAAGAAGGACGGCCTGAGAATGGACGCTGCCATCAAGAGGATGAAAGGTCAGTGCTTGGCCGGATCGGGCCAGCGTCGCACTAGGGTGGGGAGCAAGCTCGGCTTCCTGTTGAATCTTTCCTCCGAGGCCTTAGGATCTTTAAACAAAAACTTGGCTTGGTGTCAGATGGAGCTTCTTGTGCACAATCGAAGGTGGTGTCTCTTGGAGTTTGCGCCTGTGTTAAAGCCAGGATGTAAACACGAAGTCAGGGGCCATTGAGACATCACAGTTTTGATTTCACAGGATGTGCGATGATAGATTCAGATTAGAGTGACACACCGCCGACTTGCAGAAGCATCATTGTTTGTTTGCTTTAAGATTGTGCTTCTCCAGACTGACAGCATTTGAAATCCTCTGTGGGACTTGTCAGGAAGCCTAGTGAGGACTCCACCCCCAGATTTCTGGTACAACTCCTTACCACTAAACCACCAGCCCAAATGTCTATTGCTCAAACAAAGGCCAATTATTCCATTCTTACAAACATTGAGAACTCACTAGAAGAGAGAGGCTGCAAACCTGGAAATGAAATCTTTTTATTCAACTCTGATCTCAGCTTAATAGAGGTAATGATACTTAACAGGACACCTGGGCATAAAATTTTCACGAGGGCAACGTCTAGTTGGGCTATTGGCATCTCATTAGGAGATGAGATAGAAGTCAAGGTTGCTGCTATAAGACACAGAATACCAAACCCCCTCCAGTAGTGTAGAGGTTGAGAAATTCTGCTATAAACTCTGTGTGTCAATTTTCCAGACTTGCTGGCACTTGACTGAGGGCACCCGGGAGTCCTAGAGAGCAGGAGGGGGCATTTCACTTTGAAGAGGTGTGTGGAGTGTGATCATAACCCTTGACTTTCTTCCAGAATATGCCTCCAAAGATGATCACAGGGACTTTGCGGGGGAACTTGAAGTTCTTTGTAAACTTGGACACCATCCAAACATCATCAATCTTTTGGGAGCATGTGAACATCGAGGTAAGGAAAATCTTCCTGTCTCTCAGGCTAGATTTTGTTTAAAGCACATTCCAAATTGAGGTGAGGAAGGATAATAATCATCAGAATGTCACATCTTTGTTTTTAAAGTTGTCATTTCTATCTGAATGTCTGAGTGCCAAAGTTTGAGCATCTGAGTGTGGGCATCTTTGTGGACATAGGGAGGCTAAACGTTTTGGATTTCTCAAAGCTACCCATACCCCTCCTAATAGAGAAGTCTCCTTATTACTGGGGCTAAAGGAGTGGGATACAATGATTCTTCCTACTTGCCTGCCTTTTAGACTTGTCCAGCAAAACTAAGGAAATCTGGTAACTTGAATGTTAAATCCTTACATTCCAGCAATCCACTGCAATGCAAAAGCATTCATGAGTCTTAGATTAAAAAGAATAAGCTTGATTCTGATGGTGCTCTATTTTGAAGTATTCTCATGTAAAATTAGAATGATATACCTATCCTATGTAACACATACTCTAAAATTTATATTATTAATTTAATATTTGTTGTGTAAATTTACATTATTATAGTACTTATTGTGTACTTTTGATTGTAACATGAATGATTTGCTACAAATGAGTAGGTAATATTAATGAGTAGGGTGACCTCTGCATCCTACATGAATTTGCAGTTTTTCATCTATGTGCAAATGTAATGTAATTTCTCGTGGAAAAGTTTACTCTCCCAAAAATCACTCCATGCAGCAATTATTTACAAATCTTGACAACTTCTTGTTGACTTTGCAGCACAAATTCCAACAATAGAAAAGAGCCTACTTCCTTTTCCTCAATTTATTAAACTAAAAATACTGGTGTTTGAAATTCTTTGAAAAATACGTCATTCTATGGTCCAATAAGAGTGTAATTATGAAAGTCACAGCACATCCCTTAGATCATAATGAGGTAATAGCATTTCTTTTTTTAAGTTATTTCCTGAAAATAGTAAATAGTGTAAGATAGCAGCATATAAAAATTAACAAAATAAATAAAAACCAAATCAGCATCATCAACAAAAGAAAATTTGTATTTTTTATATTTGTATTTTTAAATTTGCTCCTTCAGCACATTACCACACAATTGGCTGCCTCTTAAAATAAATAAATCTGCTTTTAAAAAAATAATACAGCTTTTTAAATGGAAGGGTTAAGTCCTTTTGCTATATTTGACATTAACATATTATTATTTTTTAAAAAATAATCTTGAGGAAAATTAGAAATAAATGAGAATAACCCTTATAATCCACTTTAAATTCTCATATAATCCTAAATCTTCCTGTCAGGAATTCCGTAATTGCATTCTACTCCTATTACTGAGACATGGGGACCTCATGTTAAGGAGCTGTGCTGCTATTCCAAAGGCATGCTGTTCAAACCCACTAGGTGCCCTGCAGGGAAAAAAATGGGGAAGCTCCTCCTAGCAATTTACTGCCTCTGAAAGCCCCCTGGACGCTCACCTATGAGTGAGCTCCCGTTAGACAGAAGGCAGCTTTATTAGGGAAGGAATCCTGGTGGCACAGAATTTTTAACGTGCCAAGTTGTTAACTGACAGATTGGCGATTCAATCCCACTAGCAGCTCTGACAGAGAAAGAAGCAGCAGTGTGCTTCTGTGAGGATGGTAACCTTGGAACTCCTAGAGGGCAATTTGCCATTGGTTAGAATTGCCCTGGGTCAGAAGCGAATCAACAGCAATGAGAGTATTAACTAAGGAGCCTTTTGATGATTCAAGCAGTTAACATACCCCACTGCTACCTAGAAGGTGGGAGGTTCAAGTCCACTCAGAGGGCCCTTGGAAGAAAGGCCTGCCAATCTAGTTCTGAACTAGAACTGCCTTTGGAAAGCCGAGGCAGCTCAGTGCTACTCTGATATACATAGGTTTGGCATGATTCAGAGATGACTCAATGGCTAGTACACCAACATTATTACCAGGCAGGAGAAAGGGTTTTAGGAAGTCCACTAAGTTAGTCTGCGTTTGGAGAGAGAGAGAGGAAAGGAAACGGATCAGGAGGTTTTGTTGTTGTGGTGGTGGTTGTTTGTTTATTTGTTTTTGAGGATCAGAGTTTAAATGTGAGCTTCTTCAAATATTACAGGAAGCTGGGTCTTTTCTTCCTCTTGTCTCTCCCTCTGTGTTACTAAGGTTGGGACCACTAGATGTGTTTCTTTTAAAAGTGGAGCTTAAATTCAATTCCCCAATCCCCCAGCAAAACTCAGAATTTTCCCAGTTGTTTAGACCACTTCGTTCGTTGTAGGTTACTTGTACCTGGCCATCGAATATGCCCCGCATGGGAACCTACTGGACTTTCTGCGCAAGAGCCGCGTGCTGGAGACCGATCCAGCCTTTGCCATCGCCAACAGCACTGCCTCCACGCTGTCCTCACAGCAGCTGATTCATTTTGCCGCCGATGTGGCCCGGGGCATGGACTACTTGAGCCAAAAGCAGGTATGTTCAGAGGGCCTCGCTGTGGGCATCTGTTCTCTGAAAAATTTGCTCTGTCTTCAGAGTTTCTATATTTTTCAATCAACAGCTCATTTTAATGCTTTCCTTCAACCTCCCAGTTTTTATTTATTATTTTATTTTATTATTTTTTGTGTGTATACCGTTAAGTCAGATCTGACAGGTACAGGAGGAGATTGTCCCTCTTTCTCCAGCAGTGCATCTGGTGGATTTGAACTGCGCACCACTGAGATTGCAATGTAGCTTCTTGCCACTAGACCACCAGAGCTCCCCAACCTCCCTATTAAATAAATAAATAAATAAATAAATAAATAAATAAATACATACATACATAAATAAATAAAATTAACCTTTATTTTAGAGCAATTGTAAATTTATATAAAGTCTCCTTAATTTTAATCTGTTTGCAAATATTCCACCTATCTATAGAAATTTATACCCAGTATCGTTAGTATATATTTGTCTAGTGAATTTCACCCTCATCTGTATTTCCCAAGGTGCCTTGTGCATGTTAGTTGGTCTGATTCCTGATAATATACAACCGCAGAGGTGTTAGGTGGCAACCGGAACATTCAGTGACCTGCATTTTGTTTTCTGAAATACTTCTAAGATGTAGTATATCTTTTGGCAGAATTCACAACAGAAAATTTGGGGGAGGAACTTTCAGGAAACTGGACTCTGTTGGGATATTTTAAAAACACTTTTTTTATTCCCCAAAACTCTGGAACCTGGAGCTTTGACCTAAAAAAAGTAGAATGATAAAGCAAGTGTTACATGGAAGATGAATGACTTTTGAAAACATTTCAGTTTATCCACAGGGATCTGGCTGCCAGGAACATTTTAGTTGGTGAAAACTATGTGGCCAAAATAGCAGATTTTGGGTTGTCCCGAGGTCAAGAAGTATATGTGAAAAAGACAATGGTAAGTCCAGCACAGGGATGCTGACCATGTCCGTGACCCTGTTACGTGTGACCAAGTAATTAACATGCCAGCCTTAGGGTAGGGTCTGAGGGTTCAGGTCTGGTCCAGTTCAGACCCGTGGACTTCTCTCTAAGGAACTTTTAAGGAGATTTTTACAATTTTTTTTTAATGCACAATAAAAGGGTGGGGATGGGGGTAGGAGGGAACACTGTTAACATACTTTGCATTAATCAAGGATATAAACAAGGTTTGTTAATCATATGGAAGCACTGAAGAGTTATTGGTAGTATGTCACTTGTTGCCTTAAGTTCTCCTTTTCTTCTGCAGGCCTCAGTCAAATCCACGTTAGTCTAATGATATTTACTTACCAAAAATGTATTTCAAATACAGAACCCTTAAGGTAGTACTTTTCTACCTTCTAAACAAAATCCCTGGGAAACGTCCAAAGTCACTACCAAGTCCAGAAACAAAACTAGCCAAGTGTAGAACAAATATGCTTTATTTAAAATGTACACAGCTATGAATGGGGGTGCTGAGGCTTACCGCGGCATCAGCCCTGAACAAAGAGTAGGGTATGTATGCAACCTTGGACAGTGGGGGCAGTCAAGGCAGTTTCAAAGGCCTGGAGTTGTTTCCACCATACCTGCTTTTAGATATCAATTCTCTCCTAGGGCAGGTCATAAAACCATGTCTAGAGGTAAGCATAATCAAATGATTTGCTATTTCCTGGAACACACAGACATATTGGAATAGGTCAGAAAGTTAGCAAAATGGAATCACTGTGGGTTCAGTCACCCAACTATAATCTTAGAGGAACAGAGAAGCAGAACTCAGTCCACTTGGGGGGCCCATTTTAGGATGGGAAAGCCCTAGAAATGTCACCCCCCCCAGGGACATCTGATCATATGTCACTCTATTCTTTCCCTGAACACTGGGTGGAGCCAGACAGGATGCAGGACATTGGGCAACAATCATTGTGGCCTCCAAGGGTCCACTCGGTCGACTTCAGCACAAGGGTCATTTCTCTGAGGCCTGGTGAACATGGCCTTGGTGTTCTTCCAGGAATATGCCAGTTTTAATAAGATATGGAGAGAGGCCCCCTTTAGCTTTATCCAAGGAATCCTGGTGGCACAGTGGTTAAAGAGCTCCATGGTTATCCATTTGACCCCACCAGCAGTTCCACAGAAGGAAGATGTGACAGTCTGCTCCTATAAACATTCACACCTTAGAAACCCATACGTTTAAAAGGGACTTGTGATTAAGGATAATTGTCATGACAGGAGTCCAGAACGAAGGCTGCATCATGGAGTGGACCTGAAGGAAGGGATTGTATAACAATGAAAGAATTTTTCTTTTACTTTTCAAAGAGAAGAGTGAACTGGGGGGTGGGGGGAAGGGGTGGGCAGGGAGAAAAGTACAACAATGAATGAATGGAAATCCAAAGTCTCTGTAAATTTTCATTAAAATTAATAATAATAAAAGAGGGGACAAAAAAAGAAGCCCATAGGGCGATGCTGTTCTGTTTTGTTCAAGTGCTGTGAGTTGGAATGAAGTGGTTATGGGGGACCTCTGCTAGCCCTCCTGTTGTTGCTGTGTACCATCAAGTTGGGCCAACTCATAGCTGACCCTCCGGTGGGTTTTCAGAGGCAGTTAATCGCAGCTGGTGGCCTCCAACAGCGTTCCTGCAGGATTGCAGCACAGCTTCTTGCCACTAAGCCACCAGAGTGGGAAGGAATTGTGCTGTCAACTCCGATGCACATGGTTTGGATCCACTAGCTGCTCTGCGTGAGAAAGACGGATGATCTCCTCCCTTGTGATCAACTGTCTCTGGAAACCTACTGGAGGGTCGGCTATGAGAGGTCCCAACTCGAAGCTACACTACAACGTGAGATGGAATAGACTTGATGGCGGGGAATTTGTCTTCTTAAAGAAGCAAGACCTTTCCCTCTCTGCCTCCTCTTCATGCTTTCTGAGTCCTCCCTAGGCAACCAGGATTTCCCACACCTCCTTCACAGAGCCCCCTTTTCTGCGTTACTACTCTTGCATTTAGAAGATGTGATAACCTGGATGAAGGAGATTTTGATATTAATCCAGACTGAGTAATAGGCAACCTCAAAGCCTAGGCATTTAATTTGGTTGCCCTAGTGCATGATAAGTGGCAGGATACATTATTTGGAGACACTGTCAGGGCTAAGGAGGAGCAAGGTGAGGGAAGTGTAGGGAGGACCTGGTGGAAATCACCACTAGAGGGTAGAAGGGATACCCTTCCTGGCCCAGTTTTTTTTTTTGGTGGTTTCCCTCCACCCCCACCCCCAGTTCACTCCTCTCCTTGAAAAGCAAAAGACAAACTCCTTCATTGGTGGCCCAGTTTTTTAAAATAAGACTTTACACTTTGATTGCACCTTAGAACCATCTGGGGGAGCTTTTAAAACTAAATACAGATGCTGAATCCTGCTGACTCCGTATTCTGATCCAGTTGTTTAGGGGAGGATATAGCATGAGTGTCTATTTTGTTTTGTTCTCATCCCCGCCCACTGCTGTTGAATGAATTCTAACTCCTGGTGACCCTCTGTGCTGTTTCCGAAATTGCACATCTTCAGGGAGAGGTTGTTTCTCTTCCTCCTGTGGACCACCTTGTAAATCCTAACTGCCAACTTCAAGTTGACAGTCAACAGGTGACTTTAATGCACTGACAGCCTTACACTAAGTGGTTTGATGTGGAACTGTCATTGATTAACTTATCCATCCCCCTACTCACTGACTGTCCACAGGGTTTCCTGCTTGAGCTTGGCTTTGGGGTAACAGAGCTCCCTGATATACACATAATGTACCACTCTAGCAGTGGATACATGTTATGGGAAAAGAAAGCACAGGGAGAGGCACATGGAACCAAGCCCAGAAGACCTACTGGAGGAGACAAACTCTTGAGTTTTATAATAAAGGTCAAATGGGTGTTGGAGATGTAAAAATGCATTGAGTCTCACAGAGTGAGCGTTGCATTCAAAAGTCTAGGTGAAAAAGTCTAGGAGAGGATGAATCAGAGCTGACAACTCATTGCATCGTGGGTAGGTGGTATGGGAGAATGCCTGCTCCAGCTATCTGCAGGGGGTTGACAAATAATACTCCTGCTTTTGCCCCAGACCCATGATTAGTACAGGCTGAAATGCCACTATGAAAACTTAGGAAAATTCCTGATAGAAAGCACTCTTTCAGTGGGGTTTATATAATTCCTGGGTAATATAGAATAGAGGGGAATCCCTCAGATCATTGAACTTGAGGAGCGTGGAGATCAACCTCAGAAGTCAAACCTCACAGCATCCAACCCACAACTCTTTTCCCAATGTGAACTATTTTGATGGCTCATCCATAGAGAGGGTTGCATTGCAAATCCAAAGGCCATGCATCTCTGACAGTTCAGATCCACCTTTGGCTGTGCCTGAGAAAGGTGACCATCTCTTACAATTAGCACCATCAGAAACCTGATGGAGGGTCACTATGCATCTCAACTGATTAACAGCAGTGAGTTCAGGACTTAGTAAGCTTATAAATTGGGAGAAAGATACAAAAAGTTAGGACCAGGCACCCAAACAGAGAGTGATCTCTAGTTCTTTTTATTTTTAATTTTTCTTCTTTTTTTCCCTATAATTA